CCCACCCACAGCTCCCTGTGCCCCCAGCCTTGCTGGAGCGGTCCCCTCACTTCCAGGGCTATGGTGCCAGCCATAAGTGGAATGGACAAGTTCTGCATAACACCAAGAAATTTCGAAGTGGATCAACATAAGAAAATACATTTCATCTGGGTTAAATTCAGGCAGGGATTAATACAAGACCTATGCAACACATAAGTCCAGTAAGGCGAGTCAAGAAATGTCTAATGTAGTCCTGTAACTGGAAGTAAGGTAGTTGTAACATTGGATCTTAATGATGGGGAGTTGTTAAAAAGATTAAGTAATTGTAAGGCATGTTACAGGAATGCAATGCACTGGGAGAAGAGAATGTCTTGATAAACAGACAATACTGAGAAGGATATTATCGAAACAGAAATAATCAATTTTTAAGTGAGTACAGAGAGCTGCTTCTGTAGGTGTGCTGCATAATAAAGTGTTAAAAAGGAGAAGATATGCAATGTAAGGAAGCACTCCCCTTTTCAAGTCACCCAAAGATTAAAAAAAAAATATATATATATATATATTTTTAAGTTAGACCTTTCCTTGCTAAAAGGTAATATAGCAGGGGCGGGCAAAATCCAGCCCGCAGGCCGAGGCCATTCTATCCGGCCCATGGGGCCCCTAAAAAAATTTTGAAAATTAAAATTTATCTGTCCTTGGTTCCTGTCAAAAATAACAGAAACCAGGGGCAGTAGGACCCAGGGGAATCCTTGGTGGCAAGGTTCCCTCTAAGGTGTACACATGCACAACTAAAAAAGTCTGGCTGCGCACAACCTTTTCAAGGCCGCGCACCAGGAGAGGCTGGAATGGGAGCCTGGTATGGGCTCTGCTGGCTCCAAGGAAGTGCTCTGCATGGCCTCCGGGGAGGAGCAGGGGGGGTGGTATCCCACAGTGTCCTGGAGCCAGCGGAGCTTCATTTGGGGCAAGCGGCAGCTCCTCCCTGAGGTGAGGCAAGGCAGGGATGCAGACTGGGGCAGGGGGCTGGAGTGTTCTCCGCCAGCTCCGGGGAAGTGCTCCACTCCCCAGCCCTGATGCGGGGAAGCAGAGCACTTCTCCAGTGCCAGGGAGCCTGCGCCAGGCTCCGGCTCCAGTCTCTGGCCCCTGCCCCAGTCCCCAGCTCCAGCCCCAGCCACCAGCCCCTGGACTCTGGCTCCCAGCCCCTGGCCCTGGCCCCCCATCCCCAGCCTCCAGCTCCCAGCCCCTGGCCCCCAGCCCCCTTTGGTAAGTGTCCCATGCCGGACCGAGGCAATGCGCTCATGGACTGAGGTGGCATGCTCACAGACCACTGCTCCTTAGAGGGAACATTGCTCGGTGGGCTCCTGTAACAGCAGGGCCTGCCTGCCCCCCTCCCCAGCTGGAAGCCCCAGCAGGGGCTTCTGGCCTGGGACCATGTGACTGCCCCAGCGCGGGAAGCTCAGGTAAGGAGGTAGGGGGGTGGGGAAGGGCAGGGAAGGAGCTGATGCAGAGCATGGGGAAAAGTGGCCCCTCCCCTGCTCTGTGGCCACACTCCCTGCTGCAGCCGCTCGCAGCCCAAGCAGCGCTGTCCTAAACAGGCACAGGCAGCCCCATGTGGGCTGCGAGCGGCTGCAGTGCAGGGCGCCAGCCACAGGACAGGCAAGGGGCCATTTTTCCCCCCCCCAGTCAGCACCAGCTTGTAACCTGGCCCCAAGCCAGCTCTGGGCTCGCCTGTTGAGGCCATGCTGCAGCGGCAGCAGCTGCATCCCCCCCCACTTGCTGCGCTGGGCAGCATTTGCTGCTGCTGCCTGCCCAGAGCTTGTGCCACATTAGGCTGCGGTGAGGTTGGCAGCGCCGCCTCTGGCCTGCCCAGCACATGAACTCCAGGCAGGCAGCAGCAGCAAACACTGCCTGGCTCAGCAAGTGGAGGGGCCACAGCTGCTGCCGCCATGCACAGCCCCGACGGGTGAGCCCTGAGCCGGCATGGGGCCCAGGCTGGCAGCAGTGGCAGGTTACAAGTTGGCACTGAGTGCAGAGGAAAGGCAACCCCTCGCCCACCCTGTGGCCAGCACCCTGTACTGCAGCTGCTCGCAGCCTGCATGGGGCTGTCTGTGCCTGCTCAGGACAGCCCCGCATGGCCTGTGAGCAGCTGCAGCAGGGAGCACCAGCCACAGGGCGACCAAGGGGCCACTTTTCCCTGTGCTCCGCACTAGCTCCTTCCTCGCCAATGAGCAGGGGGTCAAGGCTGTGCGCTGCCCCATGCCTGTACTGCAGGGCTGGGGGGCACTGGGAGTGAGTGGGCGTGGGAGCACAGGGCAAGCACTGGTGTCGCAGGGCCAATGCCAGCAGGGTCCAAAGCCAGGCGGCAGAGGTACAGGGTCTCAGCCGGCAGGAGCTCTATAGAGCCGGGCCAGCTCCCCCCTCTCCCTGCTCATGCAGCCCAGCCTGGCTCCACAGACCCCAGCATCCTGTGCCCCACTCGGCCTCACTGGTGCTGGCCGTGAGACATTTGTCCCAAGACATTGGGACATTGGTTCCAAGATTGTGACCAGGGGGCGGGGCACCTGTCAAGGGGCGGGGCTACCCATGCAGCCCTTGACAGCTTGCCAAAACTGGGTAAGCGGCCCTCCACATGAAATAATTGCCCACCCCTGTAATATAGCGTCATAATACCATGATGATGCATGATGTCAGAGCAGTGTATATCTCAAAGGTGGTTTTAACCAAGGTTGTGATTAGCTGGAGCAGAAGAAACAATTTATAGATTATGTTTCAAAGACTGTATATGGCATTTTATTTATTAATATCCATGTCAGGCATACAATTCACTATGAGCAGAAATCCTACGATAAGACGACCTTCCTTCTGCCATTTTTAGGTCACTGAATTGCAGTACACAATTATTATTCTTGAGGCATTCAATGTTAAAATGTGGTTAAAAAATATGGATTCTTCATGTTAGCTACCACCACTTTAATAGAGAAATGAGCTAGTAATCCCAGACTGCACTACTTTACCTTAACCAAGCAAATTTGATAACACCTTGTCCTGATGTGTATAATTTTTGCAGGCCACACTTTAGTATCAAAAAATGAGGCCAGTCACAATCTGTTCCATACTATTTATAGCAGTTGGCACTCTCAAGATCCTGGCAAATTGCCAGTGTAGCCATTAGTACAAAAACAATCTGACCAATCCTTTTCAAATAGCACACAGTGGAGCCTGCTACACCAGTAGACTCCACTACATGTAAAGAGCCACGTGACATCAAGGGTAAAATCTGGATTTCAAAGCACCACGCAGTTATGCTTCAAACCCTTTCCCAAATTGGGAAAAACGAGACAGACAGGCAGACAGACATCTTCAATATGTCAAACAAGCATCAGAGCCAGATGGCCACTAAAACAGTTTGATGCAGGAGTCTGCAATCACCATAACCATGGATACAGAATGAGAAAATCCAAGAGACAGAATTATTTAAAACATTTGAAATACAAGAAAAACCTTGCAAAAAATGCTTACCTGGTAATCAGGCTTTGTGAAATAATCTAAATTGGAGATATGATCTAGAAAGATGTTAAATTCTTGAGGCAGATGTTTCAACATGAGCCGATGTTCATACCTCTCTTTAATAGAGCCTACTTGCTCCTAGGAACAATTAGCACAAAAAACCCTCCATTAGCATAACTCCACTGTCAGCTGCAGAATAATCACACTATATCTCAGAGGATGTGCAATATCCTTAGTGGGATGTGGGAGGAGTTAATTAATCCTTTGGGATATGATAGGATCAGAACTCCTATCACTGCCCTAGATGCCTGATGTAAAATGTTTTACAAAGCCTCAATTTCAGTATCTAAATTCTAATTTAATTTACTTTTCTTTTGCATTTTGATTTTGTTTGACACCACTATATATGATTAGCCATCATGACTCTTAACAAATTATGGACACACATTTATGTTCTTTAATCCACTTCTACTTAGTAGATTTTTAGGATGCTGTTCAGTCCAATAACATTATGCCTGTAGTTTCTGAGGACAGAACACTAGGAGCAATCTTCAGCGCAGAACACCTTCATTTACTAGTATAACCATGTATATGAAGAAGTGCTTTTCTCAAAGAAGTACCACACTTATTTGAATCCAAGACGACCCTGAATTTAAGACAACCCCCCTAAAATCAGATTCTATATAAAAAAAATATACATTTGTTTAATATTCCATGTATAGAATCTAATTATTGATTAATTAGAGACAACCCCCAACCCCTCCAGGGGGGAGGCAGATGTTATGGGAAGGTCAAGTGGCTTGTCCCCTGCTTATGCCTGCCCTCCCTGCCACTTCTGCCGCCGCTGGGATCCACCTTTCTCCCCCAGCCTCTGTTCCCTCCCCTTACCCTTGCTTTGTACAGACAGGCTCTGTCCCTTTTCTCTACTCCCGCATTGCTGCTACAGGGGCTAGGCTAGGGCCATGCTCAGTGACCCAGACTACAGTGTGCATGGAGTCTACCAGAGTGGAGCAAAGGTAAGGCAGAGGGAAAGGGGCAGGCATGGGAGCTGAGGCCACGTGGGTTGAGTGGAAATGAGGGAAAAAGGCTGCAGGGAGGAGGGAAGGAACAGGCAGCATCTGCATCTATAGCCAGACCCTGGGCAGAGGCTGGGACCTGAGCCACAGCAGCCAACTGTCCCCCCAGCCCTTTCTTATGCAATTCTAAGATGACAAGCCTCCCCATGTTAAATGGGGAGGAAAAACCATCTCTTAGAATTGAGTAAATATGGTAACGGATTCAGTGCATCAAAAGTTGTTTTTTTGTGTCTCCAGTTCAAAAACTGCTTCATAGCACAGCCACAGATCAACTGGGTTAAATGCATCCAGTAATACATAGTGAATGTCTGTTTCCCAAATGGACCATCAACCTAGAAATGAAATTTTATAGGTACGGCACAGGAAGGCAAAAGGCACTGATCTGCATATAGAGTAACAGATGCACGCTTACATTTTTTCCCTCCTTTCTCAATCCACGGGTCACAAAAATATCTGAAAGGGTTGCAAACAAACTTTCAAAATAGATTCTCCTTTAAAAGAGAAAAATGTGGGAAAGGGTGGTTTTTCCCTTACAGGATGACAGAGCTCCAGCCTGTGAGGGGCTGCTTGGGGCCCCCCATGCTCTCCCCACCCCTGCCCCACACACTGGGTCAGGACTGGCCATCAATGTTTAAAATGGGTCCTAGAACAAAAACCGTTAAGAACCACTGCTCTATAATACATATGTAAAAGTATACACTCAATCTAATTAACATACCAACTGTCTTGAATATATATTTTAACACACTATAAAATGTTATGACATGTCAGTGCTGTGAAGTGAGAAAAACACTAGAAACAATTATGTAACACTGATTCATAACATTCTCATGATTCTTGGATGGAATCTGTGAAAATATTTGTGCACAAACTGAAGCAAATTTTCCCTACTCCCCTTTTACCTTGTCTTTTATTTTCCTCCAAGGCAGTTGTCCAACCACAAATTCCACCAACATGTAGAACAGGGACCAAAGGTCATCATGTCGCCCCATTTCCTGTGAAAATGAAATAGGTGTAATTCTGTTAAACCTAGGGTATGCCATTCTTGACCTTACTTATCCAATCAGAGCTAAAGAGCTCAGCTAAATCCTGTACGGTCTAGAGACACCACTATTGTGTGTTCACAACAGAACTTCTTTAAATTTAAAAAAAAATCATGTCAAAATCCTTGGGCGCCTCTACACAAACAGCAAGGCTGCTCCAATGAGCTATAATGGCAGCAGGTCAGAGCACACTCAATTAACTGAGTCTGCTGGAGCTTGGTAATGCTAGATTACCGTGATCTAGCATCCTCCAGCATCTCATGTATCAACATTGCTGCATTTCAGAATGGCAGTGGGGGTGCATTTGATGAACTTTAGTTAAAGTGCCCTCACCATCATTTTGAAGTGCAGGGACACTGATACACAAGATGCTCCGGGTGCTTTACTTAGAGCAGCTCTCAAAGCTGCTCTAATGAAAGGGCCCCCCTTCTCCCTCCCCACTCCAGGAGCACGTGTATAAACATCCCTAATAATTAAAAAAGGAACTACTGAAGCTACAAAAACACTACCTGCTTTTCTCACAACTTCAACTTCAGAAAGTAGAATAATAAATCAGAAGGAAAAATATGTTAAAATACAGTTACAATATACAATTTACTATGAAGTGCAATCCCAGTATGCAGTCTGGAGAAGATTATTCCAATTTCTCCATCACAGTATGGTAATGGACAGACATATCCCTTAAGTGTTCCAAAAAGTGAGGGTGCAGACATATTTGGCCAATGACGCACTTAAAAAATGACTGCTCTGCTTCAAAAATGACCCTGGAAAAAACAGTAACAACTCTTAAGGGCTTCATGTTACAGTTGCACTTTTCAGCACAGTGAAACAGAGAGCTGGTTGGTCTACCTACATCCCACAATGCTCCATGACTCCCCAATGCTCTAAGAAGCCTCCTTTAGTATTCACAGTGAATTACACTGCTCAAGGATTACAGGACCTGGCTGGCATATGACCTCTACTGTTTACTTCATTATTGGTCACTTTATTTTACTAAAGGTCATTATGTGACCTGCACTATTTACAGTGAGAAAACACATTGAGTTCTCATTCTGTTGGGATGTCCATCCTGAGGACACAGCCTCTACTGTACCAGTGTCACCAGCACCCTGCTCCCAGCACTACTATCTTCTGCCACACCTGTACGGTGCTCTACCATTTGAAAGCAGGCAGGGGTAACAGACTTTCTTGTCCTCATTGTCCTAGATTTCACTTGGTGCTCCCTCTGGACAACTAATTAGAATCAAGCCATCTATGAGCACATCCTCCAACATGGCTGCCCAGGGTCACAACTGCACTTGACATAAGTGCTACACTAAAGCCAACAAAAAACTAGAACTCTTGGTTCCAAAATGATACCTTTTATTAGACCAACTGGAAAATCGTAAGAAAATGGTCCTTTCCTGCAAGCTTTCGGGATCTCTTCACTATGGGGACTTTTTACCTTCTTCTACTATCTATACTTTTACCAGAGCCTGACGGAGGAACTTTGATCCCAAAAGCTTCCGGAAGACCTCCGTTCTCTTGTGCAGGGACTGGGACTTCCCCACCGTGATGCAAGACGGACTCAAGGGGAACGCCTCCAGACCTCAGGTTGGGGAGGACCGGGTTAGAGAGCTTCTGGAGGGGCTGGACGTGTTCAAATCAGCGGGTCCAGATGCTCTCCACCCCAGGGTGTTGAGGGAGCTAGCAGGGGTTATTGCAGGGCCCTTGGCATGGCTTTATGAGTGCTCGTGGTGCTCAGGCCAGGTGTCAGATTGGAAGATAGCCAACGTGGTCCCCATCTATAAAAAAGGGAGGAGGGAGGACCCAGGCAACTATAGGCCCGTCAGTCTTACCTCAATCCTAGGGAAACTCTTTGAGAAGATCATCAAGGAGTACATCTGCGATGGGCCGGCTTCAGGGATGATACTCAAGAGCAACCAACATGGTTTCATTAGGGGCAGGTTATGTCAGACCAACCTGATTGCCTTTTATGATCAGGTCACAAAAACATCGGATGCAGGTATCGCCATGGACACAGTCTTTCTGGACTTCAGCAAGGCCTTTGACATCCTCTCCCACCCCATCCTCATTAAAAACCCAGGTGACTGTGGCACTGATGCCTACACAGTCAGATGGATTGCAGATTGGCTCAAGGGTCATACTCAGAGGGTGGTGGTGGATAGGTCATATTCGACCTGGGGAGAAGTGGGCAGCGGAGTCCCCCAGGGCTCGGTCCTTGGGCCCGTGCTGTTCAATTTCTTTATCAGTGATTTGGACGATGGGGTGAAAAGCAACCTGTTTAAATTTGCTGATGATAACAAAATTTGGGGTGAGGTGAGCACACTAGTAGGGAGGGAAAGA